TGCCATTTACTATCAATCAGTCCAAGTTTACTATCCACAGTGGTCACTGATACATTATTTTTATATATCATATATTATATGTTCATACAGAGACATATATACAAATATGTCACTGGTTCATATAATACAGAAAAACGCGAAAATATTTGAAATTAATAGAAAACAAAAAAATAACGGATTTTGGAAAAAAGGGGGATGGCAAAAAAAAAACGTCCTGTCCCGAAGTACCTATAGACTGGTTAGTGCACTTCTAGTGAAACTAAAACCAGAGTTTTTGGTAGGTAATACATCCGATTTGAGTATCAACACGACAGAATCCGGCATGTACCTTCAAATTTTATTTTTTATGTGTTCCGATTTTAAAAATATCTTATGTATGTGACATTTTCACTGCAGTTGAACAGGTCTACAACATTTACATAATACTTTTTGTTTGTTCCAAATTAGTTTCAAAATCATCACATTTAGATTCTGCGGATGTTCTACATGATAAAACATACGTTAACTGTTTTAAGGATTGATTTTTTTATATTTCTAAGAAATCTGAGAAGAAATATTTCAAAGAAGCTGCTATTATACATATTAAGAGACCTATCGAATTAGACTTATCATTGGGTTTGTACTTACATCAATAACACAACGGGTGCCAAAAGCGGAGCAGGATCTGCTTACCCTACAGGAGCACCTAGCTGAGATCACCCCAGCTTTTGGTGGGATCTGTGTTATTCAGGCTTTTGTTTCTATGTTGTGTTTTGTATACTGTTGTTTGCCTTTTCGTGGTTTTTCGTTTTTTGCCATGGTTCTGTCAGTTTGTTTTCAACTGACGACTGTTTGAATATCCCTTTGGTATTTTTTGGCCTCTCTTTTAGAGTCTAATTTGTTTTTTTATGTTAAATTTATTCATTGTGTTGATTTGGATTCTAATTAATGGTCATTTGTTTGAGAGAGAAAATGTCCAAACCAGTTGCTTAAAAATATGTCTAACAGGAGATGTGGGGTAAACAACCAATCGACGAAAAAATCAAAACTTTATAGAGATAGTAAAAAAGTAAGTCTCCATTTCAATGTTATCTAACATACCGTCACCTTTTCACACGCAAATTTCGTTAATGGACACGTGACCTCATTGATCATGTTTCATAGATGGTCAGGACTGAGGTGTAACGTAAAAATTAATATTGAACTGCAATTTAAAAATGCAAGCCACATCGTATCCCAGCAGATTATAATGAATTGCTCTGAACAATAATAACCTGAGTAGAATTCACAGTAGATTCAGACTTTGACCGTAGAGAATAAACAAATAGAATCGATATGATACCATTTGATTAAAAAGTAAATTTCATCACTGTGTCTTTTATCATCAATTACAAGTCATTGAAGAAAGAATTACAAGGTTCGTGTGCTTTTAATCATTTCTTTTAATTTATATGGGTGAAAATATTTTTTCTTCAAAATTTATGCGCACGCCCGGGCATTTTGACATAAACGTAGCATGTATTTGTCTTTTTAGTGTGTAGCATCGGGATAATTTGTACTGTCTTTGTGTCATTGCCCCGTATACTTCGGATTACGTAATTGAAAAAATATATATATATGAATAGAAATTATTTAATGAACATAGCTTTATGATAATCAAGTTTAACATTTATACATAATAAGAATATTATAGCTATATTTGGAGGCACTTCCTGCACATCCAGTATATAGCCTTAGGTGACAATTCCAGGCCAACACATTTTAGGTGGTATCACTCCAGATATCTGTCGCAAATTATAGATTCATATATATGGACGTCAATACCACACAGTAAGCAGTTCCACTCTGCTATGTCCTTCTTCTGCGATATCTGTTTGTTTTAGCATTTTCCATGACTCATTGGAAAAAAAATATTCTTTGATTCTATCTATTTTATACTAACAATATATTTTATTATACTTCACGTCAAAATGCCAGATTTTGATTGGTTAATACGAGGGAGACAATTTACTCTATCCTATGGTAAATACTCTATTACCCTTCACGGAGACGCTTGATCAAGTGTGCGCTTTATTAAATACGGATGGTCGTTATGTACAAGACGTCATAGTTTATTACTTTGAATTTGAAATTTAATAGACAGTAATAACAGTACATTCAGTATAATAAATTAAATAACACATATCTGAGGGGGTGATAGAGCAGATTGTTACCCCTCGAAAAGACATTGTCAACATTGGCTTCGCCTCAGTTGACAATGTTTTCTCGGGGTAACAATCTGCTCTATCACCCTCTCAGCTATGTGTTATTTATATAATGTCCCAGATTCTATTATAATTAATGCTCTCGTCGAGCAATTTCGTAGGAAATTGTTCCTCTGATGTTACGATCAGAACTTCTTCTATATAACTGAAAAAAATTTGCATCTTGGAATCGTTGTAGTTTATCATTAAAATTCTGAAAACTGATATAAATTTTCACCGACCACAAATTGGACATCTTGCTCATTTAAATCCATACTTAAGATGTTAATATTTTTACATCATAATTCAATTGTTTGAATTTATTTCACAGATTGCACGCAAATCAAACATTTTTCTTAGACCAGTGCCTGTCTGAATATATTTTCCGGGTAACAAAAACTGCAGGTAACAATAAAAAAATATATTATTGCAATTTCCGTATGAAACTGATCGGGTCCCCTCCGGAAATACATCTCGGAAATTAGTCTCGGAAGTAACAGGCTTTTGACGTGCATCTTGTGCCGATGATATCTCTAATAACGGTCCTTTTCAGGGCCATCAATATTTTACAAAAAGAATCTACCTTTGTTGTACATACGAGAATTCTAAGACACAAATTACATGTATTTTTGAACGTCAACTTGTGTTTGTTACTGACTCAAGTAAGGGTAAGTGCTTTTACAATGACTCGAAATGCCCTTCCACTGTTAGTTCGGTATAATAAAACAATTGTGGCCCCTTAGAAGCGATGAATATCCAAAATTGTCAACCTTAAAAGTTATTTCACTTCGGGCTGCGCCCTCAGTAAAATAACCTTCTCGTGTTGACAATTTTGGATATTCACCTTTTCAACGGGCCATAATTGTATATTGTTACTTTTTGCGGGTAACCGTAGCCAGTGCCTATGTTGAAACCACAAGGAAGAAGCTAGTTTGTCTACAGAAATATTGCGTGAATCTATATACACGTTAGCAAGTTAAAGCTACATTCTTAGCCATTTCATATGATATGGTGACCTACAGTTGCTAACTTCCAAGTCATTTTGACCTCTACTCGGAAAGTTGCCTCATATGGCAATCCGATACCACATCTTCTTATTTTTATATTTGAAATACTAGAAAGAAAACTGTGTCCATATGACACTATCAAGCTCGCAATTTTATATCTGAATGTTCAATGTCTACAAACTGAGTGAAAAACACGTGGTAAAGAAAAAATTACGAAAGATGGTTACGCAAACAAGTTTAAACACTAATTCGGCATATATATACAAGTAATAAAATGAAACCCAACACATTCAAATTGACATTTGAAATTTGACAACATTGATTCCCCTTTTAAGATAAAAACTTTCATGCTTGACATAATAAAGGGCTATTTGTAACGGTTTACTGAATAACTATAAAATAATTTAATTAATTAACTATATCTAATTTTGAAAAAAAAACAATATTTGAAATTGCAATACTTTCTGCAAGTCACTATGTTCTTTGATAATTTAATTTATTTACAAATATATTTTTTTATAGAGTTGAAACTGTTTTCTGGGAAAGCCTACTTTTGCACAATAGTTAGACTTGCTACAATTCCCTGTCCTTTATTTCTTTCTTACTTATTCATATGTTAACTGAAAACTGCCATGATACTGAATGCCCCAGTACAATGATTGCCCTTCCCGTGCAGGTTTCAATATAATGGCAATATCTCTTTGTTATAGCAGTAAAATTATTAAAGGGTTATGATTGAATAAAAAAAGAAAATCAGGAAGGGAGATGTAGAAAGTCTACCCAATAGTCATTACAGCTGATATCTGTCATCAGTATGATCACAAGGCTTTTTTTTATTAGCATCATCAAACTGCTTTAGGAATGGAATCATTGTAGTACTTCAGATGTTAAACTTTCACCATGTTGTCTGCTTAGATAAAAAAAAATGATGACTGTATAAAAATTATGAATCCAAGAAGATTTGAGTATATTTTTTTATTTTGGTTTTGTTTAAATAGGCAATCTGTACAATGAAAAGAAAAAATATTGTGTTAAGCATTGACAATATTGGGTTGTGCACTATGTTCTCAATCTTGGCTTCTATTTTTGCATAGTTGTGCTGAACACAACAGTATTCCATAAGTACTGGAGAGAACACTGTGACCATAGAACTGTGACGGCTTCGCTCGTAATTTTATAGTTCAACGGTCCTCACAATTTTTACAACAAGCCCTGTGACTCAGGCCCATAAAATCTGAATGAAAAGAGGCTTCACAAGCCAATTAATTTTCAACTTATTATTCGATATTATGGCGTCTCTGGCCTTTAACAGTGCACATTTGTAACGCATGTTTCTAACGGCGAGCGCGTGCTCTTCTTCTTGGATCGATCGCTTTGAGGGGGGGGGGTCTTTTTAAAAATAATTTTGACAACCTTCGAACGCGGACGTGTTTAGGAGCACCCTTTTCCAATGTCAACAAGCAATGCAAATCTCCAGTCTACAAAAAAGGAAATACGGTCAGGAATACAGAGTGGTTTGTTAATTTTTCACATAAAATTTCAAAAGGACAGAAAAATTAGCATTGTGTTGTACAATCAAATCACGTTACGTCCTGTAGAAATATTTCCGGCGTGTGAACACTATTTAAGAAACTGCTCCTGGAAATATTCTAAGGACATAAAGACGGATAAGAAACGGTGAACAATTTAAAATAACCCTTCAATTCTAAAAAAAAAATAATGGTGCGTCATAACAAACGATTTTTTTCACAGGTATATTTGAATTACATTGTATGTGCACAAACCGTATATGAATCTATAATTATAGGGAAATGCATGTCAGAAATATTCTATTCGATACCAAGAATCAATTCGTAAACATGACAATATCTATTCAGTTTGATACCGGTAACAAATGTATCTCAGTAAACTTCAGTACGTAGAAACAATTTTAAACTTTGGAATATAAAACAATAGATACTGATAGGAAGATCCCTTGCTGTTTTGCCGTCGTTGATCAATGTAAGTATGTCATGTATATTAACAGATTAATGAATATAATTTTTTCGGAAAGGAGGTACAATCTTATTTCTGTTGTTATCCTGTTTAGGGACTTGATGATAATCTATTTCATGTGTTAACTACATTTTTCATCTGGTGTACTGACCTCTCTCTTACCAGGAATGTGACCTACCGAATTTGACTTATCACCGGGTATGTACTTACATGAACAACACTGCATACTTACCCAGAGCACCTGAGATCCTTTCCCCTCTCTCCTTGTCTAACTTTTAACCGATTTTTCAAATACTAAATCAGACCTGAACACTACATTCTCACGTAAATGATAATAATTAATAAATAAGTTTAATTGTTTGTATAACAAACATTTTTCATTCATTTGATTCGACAATTTCCGTGAAGCTATAGAAAAAATACATGACAAAGGTCAAGGAGTTATACATTTACCAGGAAATGCATGTATAAAATACATCTGTAATGATCTATTTATCACATTTCTCAATAACATAATCTGATTTCTTACAAGTTAACGTTTGATATGACCTTAAGATAATTGTGTTGCAGTGAAATCATTGTGTCTTGTATTTTTTATAATTTATCAATATGCATTTGATTATTGACAGTTTGAAACTTGACTACACGTTTCATTGTTTTCTTTTCTGTTTACTTTGTATTGTACTTTATCTTTAAAAGTTAACATCTGATCGGAATATCAGCGGAAAATAGCAGAGTTTAACGCAGCAAAATGTCTGTATCATCAGATCCATTTCCAATAACTATTACAATATCATTTAGTATTGTAATCCTACATTCACGGAAAGTGCGAACCCAAAACAAGCTGGTTGTTACATGAGAACCGCCGGTAACTTGTTAATTTGCTTGTCATTGTAGAAGCACAAATCAACCGCTTTCAAAATATCATTTGTACGGTAATTTTCTCTAAATTTACTTGTTTCGGGTTGCTCTTTTTGGTATGGATTTTACTTGTTTTGGGTTGCTCTTTTTGGAATGGATTTGGCCTTCTAAGTGTCTTTATTTGAGCACCACTGATGAGTCTTATGTAGATAAAACACACGCCTGACGTGTCTTTGGTTATTTTTACAACCTCTTGCCGGTGGACGTTTTATAACTGATGGTATCACAAGTCCAGTTGTCAACATAATATGTACGTTGAAAGAGGAAGGTACGATAAGGCCGCTTTTTGCAAGTCCCTTGAATTCGAAAAGAAGAAAAAAATGACTCTAAGGGAGCTACCATTTGATTTTTATGGGGGGGGGGGGGGGGGGGGGGGCTAGGATGAAATTTGAAAAAAAGGCAGGACAGGAGTTTTGAGGTAAAAAAAAACAAAACAGGATGAGCAACTTGGCAAAAAAAAAGGAGGATGACAATTTATGTAAAAAAAGTCAGGATAAACTAATAAAAAAAAAAGGCAGGACCGAATAGAGTGAAAAATAAAAAGGCAGGGTAGAGATTACAACTAAAAAAATGCAGGACATAATTTTTTATCTAGCCCCCCTCCCTTAAAATCAAATGGTAGCTCCCTGATACAATCCATCTTCTTATTGCAGAATTTATTAAAATGTATTTCTTTCTAATTTCTGTGATTTTATTTTTTCTCTTAAATGCATTTTGCCTTTGATATTATTTTCTCAATGTTTTTATTGATGCTATTGTGTGTTATTTCTATGATAAATCTACCAAATAACAATAATTTGAGATCTTCAAATTAATATTCAGATATCAGTAAATGATATTTTATAATACAATGATTTCAACACTATGACTTTAGTGCGTCTTTTCTCGATCTACCTTAAGGTGGTACCAAACACCTTGACTAAAATTAATTTGGCTCGTTTAATTTTCATAAAATTTTGACAAAATATTTACTTTGACCCTTTGACAAAAATATAAAAATTTCAAAAAACTTGAACCACACACTTTATCGGAAAAATTTCATCGGATATATAGCAGTTTGACAAACAATAATTTTGATCATTGAGAAGCTTAATATTTCCTTAACAATAGAACGTGATTTAAACGTTCAACTGATTTTTACAGAGTTATCTCCCTGTAGTGTACCACCTTATAGATTGAAATAAACAATTAATTTCCCCATAGGCGACAATGATAGCCTTTTTCGAGATACAGACTTTAAAAAGTTGATTTTTTTAACGAAACCTTGCTAGAATTAAAGAAAAGTTATTAGGACAGTATTTTTTGGTCCAAAAAATATAGGTTCGCGTTGCTTTTCTTAGCGTAATTTGTACTTATCTCCCACGCCTATCAATTTTGCACTTAAAAATACGTGTCTCATCCTAGCGTTTAAAAGACATCTCAGTTCCGTTAGGGCTAAGGAAAATAATTTATTTGGCCTTTGGTATAATGCAGAATGCACGAAGTCTCTAATAACAAAAAATAACGGGCGCACATATCAACCAATCAGGATTAGCTATACTCTTAATTCTGAATACCATGTTATGCTCATAAAATGGCTGCGCCCATAAAATCTAATGGTGTATTGTAACCTATACGGTATTTAATACTTTCGAGAATCATGCAATTCATAGTTTGTTAGATGCACTAATATATATGCCACACAAAAATCATCTTCAAAACGTTCTGGCATTACTCTCTGAATTTTCAGAATTTTTTATCAGAGGTGACCCCAGTCAAAAAATGTGAAAAAAAATTTCTGATTTTTTGAGTAAATGCGGTACTGCTAAAAAGGGCCTGAAGATAATGTCCACTTTCTCCAGTGATTCTTTATATGTCATCAAGTACTGATTATATTGATACCAAAACCGATCCAATATGTAACTACTACGGTGAATTTTGAACAACAGTTTTAAATGAAACCATTTTCGTATAAAAGTACATTTTTGAAACAGACTATAGCATTTCAAAATATGAAAAATGTGTAAATATTTGTGTTCAAACATCGAAAACTATTCGTTAACTACAAAATGTCATGCCTATTCTAATTTTTATAGTCTGCCATTCGAGTGAACATTTCAATGTTCGAAGGGGATCATTTCTGTACATTTTCACTGAATTTGGTAATTTCGATAACAGCACTTGGATCGAGATTGTCATGTTTAAAAATCGATTTGTATATTGAAACTCTAGACGTGTACGTGCTTTTTTCAAACAAATCAGCAGAAGTTCAGAAAATGACATATTCTCTCCACAGTAAGTCAAAAGTCGAACCCACCCTTGTTTCTAAGGTAAAACGCAATACATATATGAAACAGACTATAGCTTAAAAACTAGTTAATCAATAATTCATTTGTCACCAAAAAATACGGTTTCACATCAAATATCAAGTAAAATTACTGTTTTTGACACTTTTTGAGCACTATGATAAAGAAATGTCGACGCTGTATACGGTATTTAATACTTTCGAGAATCATGCAATTCATAGTTTGTTAGATGCACTAATATATATGCCACACAAAAATCATCTTCAAAACGTTCTGGCATTACTCTCTGAATTTTCAGAATTTTTTATCAGAGGTGACCCCAGTCAAAAAATGTGAAAAAAAATTTCTGATTTTTTGAGTAAATGCGGTACTGCTAAAAAGGGCCTGAAGATAATGTCCACTTTCTCCAGTGATTCTTTATATGTCATCAAGTACTGATTATATTGATACCAAAACCGATCCAATATGTAACTACTACGGTGAATTTTGAACAACAGTTTTAAATGAAACCATTTTCGTATAAAAGTACATTTTTGAAACAGACTATAGCATTTCAAAATATGAAAAATGTGTAAATATTTGTGTTCAAACATCGAAAACTATTCGTTAACTACAAAATGTCATGCCTATTCTAATTTTTATAGTCTGCCATTCGAGTGAACATTTCAATGTTCGAAGGGGATCATTTCTGTACATTTTCACTGAATTTGGTAATTTCGATAACAGCACTTGGATCGAGATTGTCATGTTTAAAAATCGATTTGTATATTGAAACTCTAGACGTGTACGTGCTTTTTTCAAACAAATCAGCAGAAGTTCAGAAAATGACATATTCTCTCCACAGTAAGTCAAAAGTCGAACCCACCCTTGTTTCTAAGGTAAAACGCAATACATATATGAAACAGACTATAGCTTAAAAACTAGTTAATCAATAATTCATTTGTCACCAAAAAATACGGTTTCACATCAAATATCAAGTAAAATTACTGTTTTTGACACTTTTTGAGCACTATGATAAAGAAATGTCGACGCTGTATAGATTGAAATAAACAATTAATTTCCCCATAGGCGACAATGATAGCCTTTTTCGAGATACAGACTTTAAAAAGTTGATTTTTTTAACGAAACCTTGCTAGAATTAAAGAAAAGTTATTAGGACAGTATTTTTTGGTCCAAAAAATATAGGTTCGCGTTGCTTTTCTTAGCGTAATTTGTACTTATCTCCCACGCCTATCAATTTTGCACTTAAAAATACGTGTCTCATCCTAGCGTTTAAAAGACATCTCAGTTCCGTTAGGGCTAAGGAAAATAATTTATTTGGCCTTTGGTATAATGCAGAATGCACGAAGTCTCTAATAACAAAAAATAACGGGCGCACATATCAACCAATCAGGATTAGCTATACTCTTAATTCTGAATACCATGTTATGCTCATAAAATGGCTGCGCCCATAAAATCTAATGGTGTATTGTAACCTATACGGTATTTAATACTTTCGAGAATCATGCAATTCATAGTTTGTTAGATGCACTAATATATATGCCACACAAAAATCATCTTCAAAACGTTCTGGCATTACTCTCTGAATTTTCAGAATTTTTTATCAGAGGTGACCCCAGTCAAAAAATGTGAAAAAAAATTTCTGATTTTTTGAGTAAATGCGGTACTGCTAAAAAGGGCCTGAAGATAATGTCCACTTTCTCCAGTGATTCTTTATATGTCATCAAGTACTGATTATATTGATACCAAAACCGATCCAATATGTAACTACTACGGTGAATTTTGAACAACAGTTTTAAA